AGGCTGAAACCATGCTGCTCCCTAGAGGCTAGGATTTTGAAGCTCCATCTTACATACTTTGGGTATGTGGCCAGAAAGGACCAGTCCTGGGAGAAGGACATCATACTCAGGCGGAGGGAGAGCGCAGAAGACGACCCAGGATGAAATGTCTTGACTCAATGACTGGAGAAATGGGATTAGATCTGTTGGAGATGGTGAGACTGACTGAGGGTAGGGCAGGGTTCAGAACAATTGTACATAGGGTCACGATGAGTCACAAGAGACTCGATGGCACATACCAACCACAAAGCCCAGATGACAGGACAGGGTAGGCGAGAAGTATTCATGGAAATGAGAATTACAGGGAGGAGGTGAGGAAAGTGCGATCACACTGTGGATATTGCAATTAATGTTCTAAACCCAAATGTGTATTAGGAGGAACTGATTTGCTTTGCAAACGTTCACCTAACAACCACGGCAGGTGGCCTGCCCTACCTGAGCACTCATGGAGTCCTTGCTGTCTGCTCAAATGTCCACCCACGCTTCCCTGGGGATCTCAGCTTCACAAATGGCGAATGCAGCAAAGTGGCCTTCAAGAGTACTGTTTGCACCTGGCTGTGTCCTTCTGACAGACTTGAGACCCAGAGTCACAGCTCCTCCAGGAGAGGGGACAGGCATTACTGTGAGGCCAGTTAGGATTCAGCAACGCTGCCCACAGCGCAAAAGTTAACTGTCGGAGGCCTCAGTGTCCAACCTGCACTCTTTGCCTCGCTTCTCTTCTCTCTATTTCTGTCTCTCCGTCTCTGTGTGTGTATGTCCCTCTCCTTCCCCTTCCCTTCCCCCTCTCCCTCTCCTCAACTCCTTGACTGATGGGGCAGGAATGAGAGGAGGGCTCAGAGAGCTGTGGTTCAGGAGAGAAGCACTCTTACACTCAAAACGCATGGATCCTTAACCAGACTTTAAAATAAAGCAGGTTTCTCAGCACGGTCCTAAATGCAAAATGGCAGACAGTGGGATAGATAATAGGTAAAATGTAGGTATAAAATGTGCTCAAATACAAAAATGTGAAAATATTCACAGACATGCTATATTGTATGTAAAAAAAAGTCAAAAGAATCTACTTTTTTAAGTTAAAAATAAATGTCAATGTCAATAAACAAGCAAACAAAAAGCAACAGTATTTTTTCATACAAGCAGCAAAGAATTAGAAAAGAGTTTTAAAATATCATTTACAATAGCCTCATTAATATTGTTATAATCATCCTTTTCTGAACCAGACATTACCTTAGAGATATATAGCACTAAGACACTGTTTTTATCTTTAAGAATTATAGGATTCTTTCTATATCATGGTAAGGGAAAAAATTAATAAATATTATTATTATTTTGTAATAATGTTATAGAGATAATTCCAAATATACTTTTGTCCTTTTAAAAAAAAATCAAATACTTAAGAATAAATCTAGCAAAAACTATGCATGATCTCCACATAAGAAGTCTAGAATTGTACTGAAATAATTCAAACAAGACTTAAATGTAGGAATAAGCCCTGTTTATGGATCACAGGGCTCAATTTTTAAAGATGCTCATTTTCTCTGTGATAGAATAAAAGTGGTCATTTTTTTTACACTCTGCATAAAGATATCAGTTGGCTAAGCCACAAACTAATGGAAGGAATTTCAACATATATAGCATGTTTTAAAGGACTCAATGTCTTTTTGTTGTTTTTGTTGTTGTGTGCCATTGAGTCACCTGTGACTCATAGCAACTCTATGTACAATAGCCCTAAACCCTGCTCTATCTGATGAGGTGGTATGTTTGTCTTATAGATATAAGACTTATATAAAAAGATGGGCGAATGATAGGGTGGTATTAATAAGTTCAGAATTCTTGATAGGGTGGTATTGATAAGTTCAGAATTCTCGGTAGGGTGGTATTAATAAGTTCATAATTCTCTATATAGGTATCAATTATAAGGTGGTATTAGTAAGTTCAGAATTCTCTATATAGGTATCAGTTATAAAACTACAGTTCTTTTTCTTCAGCCTGCAAAACTAGTTGTTTAGCCTCTGAATTCTCTGTTTCCTGTCTTTAGTCATGTAGTTTGATCTGTTTACCAGAAGAGGAAATGCATCTGTCCTAGGTGCTGGTGAAGCTGGTTCTCCAATCATATGTAAACTGTATCTTAACCAGCCTGTTTACCAGGAAGAGAACCATGGCCTTCCTGAATTACT